CACACACACACACACACACACACACACGCACACACACATACACACTGGTCTCAGTATCACTGTTGAATAATAACCTCTTCGTTTGAAAACGTATTTTCATGAAACCAACAATTTTAGAAATTTAAAACGTTCGGAAACGATAGGTTCTGAATTCTTAAAATGCCTTCTCTACTGCCATCTTCAGACTTGAGAACAACCGATTCGACAACGATAACAGTTTAAGCCAGCGATGACGTCATTGGAGACAATGTAATGATATCAGTTAGCAGATTTATATTCTTATGACGAAGCAAAGGATAAACAACTGTAGTAAACTTACTGTTCCCTGAGCGTGGAAGTCGTCACGCCGGCCCTCTTGTGATGAGATCGGTTAACCAAATCTGGGTTATATACCCCGGGTGAGAGGTGATAAGTCCTGGAAGTGTAAGAGGCTCCACCCTGTTTTTGGGGGAGGCCGAGATATGACTTATCTGTGTCCGAGAGAATGCAGGGTTGACATATACACGAGAGCAATGGGGTTTTCTGTTTGGGCGGGGGTGGAAAGGCAGACAATAGATGGACTTTTTAAATAAAGAAGAAGAAATAAAGTTTGAGGTAGGCGTGAGATTTGAACCCGGAGATGGAGGGTGGGGGTGAGGGGATTGATTGTGTCGTCAATGTCCATTTCTCTTAGCTATGTAATAAAAATTGGAGGGATGGGGGGGACAGTGCAATTGTTAGAGATGTTTTGTGTTGGTATGTAATAGCACATCTTTATTGTGTTTTTGTGTGTGTTCATAACGTGTGGGCGGCAGTATATGCAGGCGAGAACGTGTTCTTGTTGTACGTGTTATAAGGTATGTGTGTATGCCTGCTGCAGAAAGGGAGGGGGTATTGAGAACGTGCGCGAATTTGTGTGCGCGCGCGCGGGTGTATGTGTGTGTGAGTTTGTGTATGTGTGTGTGTGTGTGTGTGAGTGTGTGTGTGTTTATGGGTGTGTACGTGCGTTCGTGTGTGCGTGTGCATTTTTGTCTGGGTGCATGTTTGTTAGAGTCTGTGTGCGTATGTGTGCGTGTGTGTGTGTGTGTGTGTGTGTATGTGTGTGTATGTGTGTGTGTGTGTGTTACCGTGTGTGTGTTTGTGTATTTAATATTGTGTGTGTGTGTGTGTGTGTGTGTGTGTGTGTATGCTGCGTCTGGGTTGTTGTTTTTTTTGGTTGTTTTTTTAGGGGGGGTGTCTTCTAGGATCTCAACAGTTGAAAGTCACACAGTACATATGCCTTAAAGTAACTTGTTCCCGACTACTGAGAAAAAGAACCAAAACACTCTTGGACTGCTGGACCGATTATAATACAAATCAACAACGACGGAAGGAGATGACAATGCGTTAAGATTGTCACAGAATATTATCTTATAATGAGAAACCACCGCTAGTACGCCTATGCCTTTGTTTAGAAGTGAGGATGGGAAGTGGGATTAATAATATGCGGATGTTCGATGGCGTGGGAGAGGAGGGAGTGCGTGCGGCCACAGAGAAGGAAGCGATAAAGGAATTAGCTATAATGAGCTGATCTGAACTTACTATACACGTACACTGACATTCTCCAGCCCGACACTGCACTCCGAAGTCGTGATTCCTAGGATATACGTCAGCCTATTATTTATTCGTGTGGTCTCTTGACTCATTTTAACCTTGATCTGTTTGTAAAGTCATGTCCGACTATTGGGCAGGGTCATATTGTATCTTACATGTCAGCCATGAAAGGATTTAATCTCCTAGTTCTTCAGAGTCACTAAGAGACTGGGAAGTAGAGCTGAAACTGTTTCAAGTGAATTGCTTTTAATCTCATTCAAAATAGTTCAAGTGCTATTTGTTTTAGACGACGTGTTGGTTATAAAGACAGGTTTCATGAAGCAAATCTAGTCAATGGGTATTCAAAGATATTGTATGTTTAGTTGTCTAACCACGTTTTAAAGAGGGGATAACCGAACTGCATTATTGTATTTGATTTTGTTACTGTTCCTTTTATTTATGGATTTATCTTTAATCAAATATATGAATCTAGTTTATTATCTTTTTCAGCGGATTTATTTCGTTCTTTTGAACTTAGCACCTCTCTTCAAACCCAAACTGCTAATAATTATGAACGGTTTTATTATGCTGTTATTGGGCATGTGTGAGTTACATTTGGCAAATATACATGGTGTTCCGAATTAGTGATGCTAGTTAAAGGACAAGCGCCATCATTTTCAAATGACTTGTAAAGACTAGTCTGCAGGTAATGGAGTACAATCAGGGATGAGGCAACCAACCAGAGTATGAAAGTGTCAAAACTAGAGGAAGTGGTCAGAGACAGACATGCTTATTTTCCACTCCTCTTTAGCTTGTGTTACTGACAGTACATGGAGAGAGTAAGTAAGTAAGTAAGTAAGTAAGTAAGTAAGTAAGTAAGTAAGTAAGTAAGTAAGTAAGTAAGTAAGTAAGTAAGTCAGTCAGTCAGTCAGTCAGTCAGTCAGTCAGTCAGTCAGTCAGTCAGTCAGTCAGTCAGTCAGTCAGTCAGTCAGTCAGTCAGTCAGTCTGCCAGTCAGTCAGTATGTCATTCAGTAAGCCTGTCAGTAAGTCCGTAAATCAGTAAGTCAGTAAGTCAGTATGTCAGTAATAAGTCAGTAAGTAAATCAGTAAGTAAGTCAATAAGGAAGTCAGTAAGAAAACCAGTAAGTCAGTGAGAGAGTGAGTGAGTGAGTGAGTGAGTGAGTGAGTGGGTGAGTGAGTGAGTGAGTGAGTGAGTGAGTGAGTGAGTGAGTGAGTGAGTGAGTGAGAGAATGAGTGAGTGAGTACTGTGAGTGAGTTAGTGAGTACAGTGAGTGAGTGAGTCAGCAAGTCAGTCATAAAGTAAGTCGCAATGGCTAAGTCCTGGGGGGAGTTGGATGAGCCAGTACACACTCATGGGATGGTAATCGACGTGACAAGGCTTGGGGTCAACATGCTACCCCTCCCTGACCCTCCCTCATTTCATGGAATTGATACAGTGTTTGTCTACCTATGGGCACCTGGTTTAATGGAAGTAAAGGGGGTGTGCAGACTATCAGATCCAACATGCCTTATCCAACATGCCTTAAATGTTTTCAATTGCTCTTTGAAGAGATATAGTTAAATAAATTGGCAAATTAAAAATACTCTGTGAACTCAAGCGTTAGCTCTTAGTCGATGCCGGTTTTTTTACATACACTTTCGTACATCCATCCATCCATCCAAAGGCATATACGCACGCACCCCCCCTCCCACAAAAACCCGACAAACAAACACCCCCCCACCCTACACACATACATACTCAAACACAAACACACACACACACACACACACACACACACACACACACACACACACACACACACACACACACACACACACTCACTCACACTACTCGAACAGACACACACATGCACACTCACAAATACACACATCTTGGATTAAATGTAGGATTACAAAATGAACGGGTCATCAGGAGAGTGAAACTCATTACGGATATCCTGCCGTGATTCCATTAATTATTAGTTACTCGGCTGAGTTTTCCGGAGTTATTAAACCACTGGTCATGAAAGAATCGGACTTGGCCTAACAGGAATTGGGATTCTAATAATTATATCAAATAGGTAATGAAGACACATGACATTCTTCCGAAATCTGGATAAAAATTATGGCTCTCGTTGAAGCTAATGCATTGCCTGACATTGAGAGTGAAAGTGAGTTTACAAGAAATCCAAATAAACGAAGACACAGAGTAAATATTAAGTTGTGCATCGGGGCAAGGTGAAAGGATCGATTCACCGCTTGGGGTTCTAGATCAGATAAGAAGAGTTAAGTTTGTCTTTCTATAGCATGGTCATTGTATTTAAAAAATCCCCTCTAAGAGCAAACATACCTTTGCCTAGGCGTAAAACATCTGTAAGTTATGAAATCAAGCGGACTGAATGCCTTAAATGTCAGGATTGTTATATTAAATATATTTCTTCACGATAAACATGCTGCTGCTATTGTTGCTGCTGCTGCTGTTGCTGCTACTCTCTCTCTCTCTCTCTCTCTCTCTCTCTCTCTCTCTCTCTCTCTTTCTCTCTTTCTCCCTCTCTCTCTCTCCTTCTCTCTTCCTCTCTCTCTCTCTCTCTCTCTCTCTCTCTCTCTCACTCTCTCTCTGTCTCTCGCTTTCTCTCCTCTTTCTCTCTCTGTCTATGTATATGTGTGTGCGTGTATGTGCGCGTGGGCGCGTATGTGTGAGTGTTTTTATCTGTGTGTATGAGACGAGAATTGGAAAGGAAAATTAGCTAGAAGTAGTTCCCTGTTCTTTTATTAATGATATTGTGATAAAATTTCATACGGACATTGAGCACGACGCAGACAATAAATCAACCAGGGTTCAGTAGGGTTCGTCTTTAACTTCCTTCAACAGTAAAGGACAGACTGACATTCTGAAGTGTCAGTTTCATTGACACAGCCACGGAGTAAATCAATATCTTAAGCAATTATTTAAGATTGATGGCCAAGTCTATGGATAATTTTGGAAGATTGCAAATTTTAAAAAAAGAAAAAATAAAAAAAAATAAACCCAACTAATACTCAAGATTCTGCTTCGTATTTATTGTAGTTTTTGTTTTCGTCGTGGATACGTTGGTAAATAAGGAGAATGTGATCATCTACTGAGAGAATTGATGTGGCGTCAAGCAGTGCTTCAGAATCATTTTTTCTGTGTGTAGGTGGAAGGTTATCCTTCTTCTGCTACCTGGGTATAGAAGAAATGCAAAATGAAATAAATGTCACCTTTCTGTAAAGATGATCTATACCGTCTTGATCATTAGATTATTTAATGTTTTAAACTATAACGTTTTCAAAAGAAAAAACGTAGGTAAATTATACTCACATCCCCTTTTTACCTTTTGTACCCAGAATATTGTTTGATCTGTTTGCTGTTCGCTTTTGCTCATCCCACGTAACACCAATTCTGAAAGAACTACACTGGCTGCCAATAAAAGAAAGGATTAAATACAAAACTGCCGTTCTCTGTTTTAAATGTATAAATGATAGTGCACCTTTTTTTCTTAAAACATTCCTGGAATTATATAATCCACCTAGAGCCCTTAGATCAGCCTCTGACAATCTAATTCTTAAAACTCCAAAACAAAATTACAAAACATACGGCGAGCGTTCCTTTTTGTTCTTTGGTCCCCAGGTATGGAACGAACTCCCATATAAAATAAGATCTGCCCCAACAATTTCCATTTTCAAAAATCAGCTGAAGCATTTTTTATTCACAAAAGCATACATGTCATAATGATGTACTGTGATTCATATGCATGTGTATGCCAGACTGTGAGACTGAAGAAATAGCGAGTGAGAATGAGAGAGAGAAAAAGAGAGAGATAGAGAGAGAAAAGAGAGAGAAAAGAGAGAGAGAT